TGATATGCTTTTGTTTTTCCTTTTTCTTTTTTTCTTTTTCTTTTAACCATTCCCCATCATCACAACAAGAGGACAAACATAATTTTTTTTTGAGATTATGAATAGATAAAATAAGGTGTTGATATTATGAATTTGTGGTATTGTTTGTACTTAATTCATTTCTTATAACAAGTGAGGAAAGGTGAACAAATTTATGGGATTTTCTTTGATGAATATATATTTATTATATAGTATTGTTATCTAGCTAATGCAATGGTGATGGATTTTTTTTTTTTTAAGTTTTAAAATGAATTTAAAAAGCTGATACTTGTTTTTAAAATATATTTAAATAAAATAATAAATTATTTAAATATTAAATGATTTCTCATGGTAAATGGTAATTGTATATATTCACTTTTTGGATTGAAAAACTAAATTAAGATAATTAGCGCCTCTAATATTATGTTATGCAATTGATTTTTTTTTAACCAAAAAATTCATACTAAAAGAAAGTGCAATAATTGAGTGATCATGTCTTCCTTAAAGCATGTATGGTTTGAGCAATGAGAACTCGGGGAATTGGCATTCCATTTCTTGTTGGGCTATTGAATTTTATTAATGGAAGATTTTTCATTCTAGTGCTCTAATAATATCTTTATGTGCTTCTAATTTTTAATAATTTCAAAGAATATGATGGCTTGTCAATTTGAATTAAAGTAAATGGATATACCTTTGAATTGTTCTTCTTTATCATGCCTTTTATTTTATTTTATTCTTTCTTTACATTTAGGGGGCATATTTATATGTTTATGGAATTTGAAAACAATCAAATTTATCACCTTCGTAGTGGAAATAGTGATTCTAGCATTTTTTTTTTCAATATCTTACTCCAATTTGGACAAGAGAAGCACAAGACACATAAGAAACCATTTGTACTTTCTTTAATATAAATAGTATTGGTAATGGATTAAGTCTGGATGAGTTTTTGTTTGCCTCGAATCTGACCTGATTTAATATTGTATAAATTGTATTCAATTCAATCCGACTCGAAATTAATAAAATATTATTTTTTAAATATAAATATATACATATATAAATAAAAAATTAATTAATTAATTAAAAAATAATTTTTTTATAATAACGGGTGAGGTTGGGTCGAGTTACCTAAAATTCGAATCCGACCTGACCCTGATTTTTTTTTTAATATTATCCGACCCGAAATCCAATTTAAAAAAAATATGATCCTATGAGGTCAGGTCGGGTTAGAATCCACTGGAGTCAGATTGAGCTACCAACCCTAAATACAAACAATAAGTCACAAACTTTCAAGTCTCATCTCTTTCTCTTATTATTGATTCTCAATTTTAGTATTAATTCTAAAAAGATTAATAAATTGAATATTTAAATGTAAGATCTATGATTATAAAATTGTGATTGAAAAAAAGGGAAGTAAATTAGTGTTATGTTTAACAAGTGGTGTGTTTTGCTTTTGGTAAAAATAAAATTGTGTTATCTGAATAACATGCATTATTCAATTTTAGATCAATTCTAGGGTGATTATGTGATTTAATGGCTAATTTACGGTCCACATTTTTAACACCGACACTTTAAGATGGTTCATTATCCTAATTTTTGGAACATAGAGTGAACTTGTGGATCTTTATATTTCAAATTAGTTTATAATGTTTAAATGCAAAAATGAATCATAATGTGGATATTTGAAACTTTCTATAATAGTTATGAATTTTAGTTATGTGATTGTAATTTTTATTTATAATAATAAAACATTATTACTTCAATTATTTATATTTGAGAATTTTTTAAAATTTAGGGCCGAATTCAGGACTTGAATCGTAGGATGAGTCTTGGAAATTCATGGACGAATTCATAGTCCAAAACTTTTAAGACTGACCCTGCGTGGATTGTTGACTGTTATCAACTTGTCATGACTCATCAAGCTTCTTTAGTGAATGTGATTCAATGACCTATATTATTAAATATATGCGTCTGATCAGTGATTCTCGTAGATCAAACGTCAAACCCATCGTCACATTTCAATTATTGATAGCAAATAGAAGATAAAATTTTCCTTGTTAAAGATGATGTTCTCATGACAATTACCCGTGAAATTTTTGACAAAGTTGATTTTCAAGGAGATAGAAACCCAAGCACACGAGCATTTTTTTACTTTTATGTTTTTCTTCCCTTAATTACATAATCATGAGCTTGTTAAATATAAAATTTTTTTATTTCACAAATAAAATTAAAAAATTAACACATCTTTTATTTTTAATTAATTTTTTTATTTTTAATATAACTTAAAAAATATTATTCTATTAATTTCGGTTATAAAATTTAAAAATTTTATCATAAACAAAATATTTTTTCAAAAATTTATTCCAATTTCGTAATTTAAGATTAAAAATCGTGTTATATGATTTAGTCACCAACCCCAATATAATCTAAGACCTTAATATTATAATAGTCATCATAATTAATATATTATAATATTATTTTTTTATTGACAAAAATATTTAAAAGTAGATAAATTATTTAATCTTTTAAATTAAAATAAGATGTATCATATTTGATAATTTAAAATAATTAATTATAAGTCGTGCATTAAAAATAATCTTAATAAATTACTACCGATAAAATTCGAACTTAAAATTTTTTAATAAAAAAATATAATTTTAATCAATTAAATCAATTATTTATTAATATTATAATATTAATAATACCATTATTTTTTCCCTTTTCCATTGCCTATATTATTCAACAAAGTACAGCGCTAAAGATGAGTATTTTTTTATGATGCAATGGACGGCTGAGAACGGACCAAGGCACAATTATTGGAGTAAAAAGGACACGCGTCGATGTGTGAGTAAATTTAAGTGGCTTGATTGTGATTGTGACGGCAATTTTCAGGTGCTTAACTTTCTGAGGGCGGCGTGTACTACATCACTTTCACTGCCATTAAAAAAATTACTAAATTTAGGAAATTGTTTTCTCTTTTGGAAAATAATTACTAATTAAAAGCAAAAAAAAAAAAAAAAAGAAAAAATTTGGCCTTTACCGGTATTACAGGTGAAAAAGACAAAATTATATGTCAATGTCAATACCTTACTAGAAATTGCAAGGAACTCTAATTTTAAATTTTGATGTGGCTCATTTTGTAATTTAAAATTTTAATATTTTTTAGAAGTTTGAAGGGAATTGCAAATATTGTTAAATTAATTACTTGTATTGTTGGTATACAAAGAGATATTTTTAATTCACCAAAAAAAAGAGATTTTTTAGAAAAATTCTTTACTAGAAAATTTGTGTTATTTCAAGATTTATCCTTTTTTCATATTGTTTACTTACCATTTTGCTGCATTTTGACCTAACATGCAAGGAGAAAGCCAACCAAAGTAGAAAAAAAAATGAAATTGCAATTGATTTTACTAGTGATTACTACTATTAATGTTTTATGAAAGACTATAATATTATAAAATTAAGAACATTTGTATTTAATAAAAGAGCTAAATAACAAATTTACGAAATTTGTAAAATCTTGAAGATTTAGAAATTCCCATGAAAAAGGAATTATAATTTAAAAGGAAAATAGAAAATGTTATAAGTACTTATATTGAAGATATTATAACAAATATTTTTGGAATTTGAAAAGTTACATAATGAACAATTGAAACAATTGAATTTTCTAGAGTATATGTTAAAAATATTCCTATAGAGTGCCTTTAAAAAAAAAAAAAAGCTTTTATGGGCTTATTCTTTCAAGAAAATTACTTAAATTTAGGTTGAGCTGCATCAATTACTATTGGTAACACCATTTACTACAACACAAATTGGAGGTTACTAAATGATATATAGTAATTAAAAAAATGAAGACCCTTCTTTTGGAAATTAAAGCACCATGACGAGTAAATACATAACTTGGGTGAGTGCATGGGATATTGACCTTTCCAATCAAAAGGAAAAGCTGAGTTCCCAAAACTCAGGAGTGTTAAAACAATCAATGACTTGAAATAGGAGTTCACCAAACTTCTGTTATAGCAACATTAGTAATTATACTTTTTAAAATCTTTCTTTCAACCTATATATTGAAGCTAACACTTGTATGAGTATACATTAATAACCTTAAAAAAAAAAGAAAAATTAAACAAAATTATGAGCATCACAATTGTTAAATTTGATATATTTGTTTAGGTTTTTATATAAAAATATATTAAATATATTCCTTAGCTTGTTATTCATTAACAATAAGAACTATTCATAAAATTCTAAACCCAAATTTGTATATTGCAATATCACAGTTTGGTACCACATGATTTCACGCAAAGGTGAGTAAAACTCGATTCTAATTGATTTCCATTTCAAATTTGGACAATTCCAAGGAATTTTAGTGGAAAGAAACCACCCAAGTAAAAAAAAAAAAATTTGTGATTTGACATCCAAAATTCACTTCTTCTTCTTCTTCATGATTCCAAATTGACATTTTCCCACTAACTAATCTTTACCATCAACAACCAAATGCAGTAAAAATTCCACCCTATTGTCAATCAAGAAAACAAACAAACCCAAAAAAAAAAAAAAACTTTTATGGTACTAAAACAAAACATGGCTTGAGAGAAAACGTGTTGAAACTCTTCAAGAAAAAATCCAATTCATGGTACTTTCTTTCAACAAGACAAAAGGCACCAGAATTTACGCTGCTAAACTGATCTCAAACGCGCCTTTTGTCGCGTATGAGAACCCCCTTTCTTTAAGAGAAGTTTTCAATGGCAGTGTACTACAAAAAATCAGTACTTGAATAGAAAGGAATGTCCTTACTCCTTTAAGACTTCAATAATTTTACGTATGTATATATATTATTAAAATTTTAAATTATATCATTTTTATTATTTTTATCATATTATTATATTATTATATTATATTTAAAATTAAAAACATGTTATATTTAAAATTAAAAAAAAAATCGCTCTTCACGGCATCAGCAACGTATACATTCAACAACAATCTTTTATGGATTGTCTACTCACTCCATTCATTTCATTTTCACAGAACATTTTTCTTATAATACATCCAACTTCTATATATATAAAATAAATATATACACATTTTAAACCCCACAATACAGTAAAGAGTTCTGTAAAAGAAACAGTATCAAAAGCCTACACATCAAGCTACTGATCTTACTATCCAACCCATGTCCTAAATTTTGATCTAATCTCTTTTTTTTTTTTCCACATTTTTCTTTATTATTATTATTGTTTTTATTTTGCCCATTTCTGTGTACAATAATATCGGTATAATTTAGTTTCCAACACCGGCCTCAAAGGAATAAGGCTCAGGTGTCGACATTGTTTGCTATATCAGTGGAGAAAAAAAAGCTATAATAATTTTTCTTATTAATATTAGTATTCTATGATGAGACCTCCCATTGGAGCTCGATGAGGAATTCCCTTCCTCCTTTTGGCAGTCCTGTAGTTAACGGCTGTTGGCGGCGGCGTAAAGCTATGTAGTTTGCTCTTGGTATAACTCCCATTGCTCACACCATTCAATGACTCGGCATCTGACCCGTCTGTTTCCTTGCACATTTTCTTTTTCCTGATGAAGTTCTTGGATGTCCCAACGATCTGAAGTAATTTAATTACAGCCATAAAAATGTTAAGCAGGAAGATAAAATGGAAATGGGGTAAAAGAATTGATGAAAATTCTTTTTTTTATTGGACAAAATTAGGTGAATAAAAATGTAGATTATTAATTACCTTGCAACCAAGAGAACAAAAGCTGAAGGAATCAAGGAGGCTACGCTCGCAGACTTGGCAGGTATTGGTGACACCTTTGCCGGGCCTAGGCTGGGGCCTCTCATTCAAGAAAACAATCCTGGCACTGTTGATAATGTAGGTTTGAATCCCTGTTATGTCTAAGAATTTCTGAATCTCAGAAACCCTTATCACATCATGGTATGAGGATCTCCTTATCTGCAACAAAAACCACCAAAATCCCATCTCAAAATTTTAGCAAAAAATTTGGTCAATTTAATGAACATAATCAGCAATCAAATATTTGTATTGAACTAATAAGTTTTGACTATTGAAAAAAAAAAGGAAGAAAAAGAAGAAAAACCAATCGCCTGTTGTCTTTTTGTCAATCCCCCAAGAAAAAAGGCACACGACAGTGCTGAAACCAATGCAAATTCATAAAATTTCGTGCCTATGATCAAAGACAGGTATAACTTCTGATAATGGAATATGTCACTCACTCATTCTAATCAGTTTACAGCCCAAAATTTCAGGAAGAAAATTCTAATAAAACAAAACATTTTTTTCCTAAAGAAACAAATAAAGAAATTGAAGTTATACCTGAATAGCTCTATGGTCTCTGTGATAAGCAAGGCAAAGAGAACAAAGAGCACCATTCATGCAATCCAAGCAATACATATTGCACTCACTCTTATGAGCATCTGCATGGAGCTTGCACTGAACAAAAAAGGGTGTTTGAAGCAGTGGTCGCAGCCATGGCGGCCACTTCACATCCTCTTTATCATCATCATCATCTAGACCTCGTCCTCCCTGAATTATGACCCATATTTATTTTATCATCAAATTAACAAAATCATCATCATCTCAATAACAATATCATTACAGTCATATACTTTAAACCAAGAAAAAAAATGCATGCGACAATCAACAAAGATAATTCAACAAGGCCGGGGGTCCTAACCATGATTCTTCTGCTTTTTGGTTTGATTTCTCTAACAGTTGTTTCTTGATCAATACTGATCATTTAGAGCCAGTTTTAGCAGAAAGAAAAAGAGAAAAACTTTCTAGGAAAACTTTATTTTCTCAAGAAAAAAAAGGGTGAGAAGAAGAAAAAACAGAAGTGGGGTTGCTTTGTAGTGGTGGGTGGTGGATGGGGCATGGAAGGTGCTTATCTTTGGGCTTAAAAGTCTTCAACCGAACCTCTATCCGAACCTAACCCTAAAACACAAAAATATTAGATGCGTTTATTTGAAGGAACTTCACCACTTTCATAAATTTTTATTTTTCATTATTTTCATTTCCATTTTTTAAAATATTTTTTATTTTTTTGAAAATTCATCTATTTTTACTTGGACAGAGTAGATTGAGACTGGCAATTTGGAAGCTTCGCTACATGGTTATTTTTTAATGTTGACGTTTGGAAGTGAGAGAGTTTGAAACCTGGAAAAATTAACGAATCAGCTCGAATTCAAGGAGGGCCAAAATGCCATGTGTTGGACCTATTTTATGATATATGGATCCTAATTTTGCATGGTGAGGTTAAAAGTTAGGCCTTTGGAATTTGCCACCTCAAATGCTTATATATTAAGATTAATGTTATAAATATTTGTTGAATTATAATAAAATATTTAATTTAATATTTAAGTTTTAAATTTTTTTAATATATATTTAAATTATAAATATATTAATTAATATGATACTTATTTTTAATTTAATTAACTTTAAATAATAAAATATGACCAATGAATAATTTTTTAAAATCAAATTAATTAATAAATTTATAATTTTAATGTTACATTAATTGTATAATTACATTTTTTTTTTCATCAAAGTTTAGAGCTATGTTTAGAAATTAGTTCTCTCAATTTAGAATTGTGGATGGCTCGGACCCAATCAATCCGTTCATTTAAATTATAATTATTATTAATATTTTAAAATAAAAATAAATAATTATTTTATTAATATAATAATATGTTGAATTGGATTTAAAAGATCGTGTCCAAACCGAATATTCAAGTCGAATGAGCTTGTTGACTTAACGACAGGCAAACCTACTTTTCGGTACGATACTCAGAAAAAAATTTGTTAGATGAGTGAATTTCGTGAAATTTTTATATTAAAAATATCACATAAAAATAAAAAATAACAATTCAAATAGTTAAATTAAAAGACTTTATTATAAATTTTTGAAATTTTATACATTAATTTATTTAATAATATATTTTAATATAACGATTTGAATTTTCAATGTTAATTTTTATGTAACCGTTTTTAATAAAATAAAATTCACAAATTTTATGAAAAAAACTTTATCTAAATGAGATTTCTTATCTCACCCTACAAATACCTCTCATATGATTTAAATATGAATCATTTTAAATAAAATTTCAAACTCTAATATACCGTTGGTGTAAGGATTTTAAAATCAGTAGAGTATTCTTTATTTTTATTCCTAATTTTTTATATTATTTTTATTTTTATACTCAAATCCAACAAATTTTTTAAATCTATTCTTATCTTTGTTTCGATTGAATTTTATAGTTACAGCAAGCATAACTATTTTAAAAAAAGAATTACATTTTTTTTTGAGTTTTTTATTCTTGTATCTACATGTAACTTTTATAAATATACAAATTTTTAATAAAAATATATTAGATCTAACATAATTTATATATGAAAAATTCAATATCACAATACAATCAATAAACGATAAATCAAAGAGTTTTTTAGAGATAAAGAGAAAGAGATGTAAAGTAAAAAATGTTAGTTCTACCAAGCATAAAAGAGTGTAAAAACATGTAATCATAAGGACTAATTATTCTAAAATAAAAATTTATATTATTAAATATATAAAATATGTATAGAGTATGGATAGATCTATTCTAAAGTTGAATTACCTAAAAGTCTTCTCAAATTTTGAAAAGATTTGGATAAAAATTAATACTCATTAAACGGATTTTAGTATAATTTTTAAATCCATTTAAATTTTTGATTGGTTCTTAAACAAAATAATTTAAATCCATACTCGGCCTAAATAAAAAATATATAATTAAAATATTATAATTATAAAATATATATGTGAATTTTTATTTTAGTAGTTAGTTTTTAAAAAAGAGGATATTTTATTTTTAAAATATATTTATTATATAAATCAAATTTAATGGGTAGATTTGAAATTTAATTTTTTAATTTAGATCGAATTTGAAAAATTTTTGAAATTCAAAATATTAAATTAGATTGGACTTGAAAAAATATATAAATTATTAATATTAAATATGAACTCGATCTAAAACTAACTCAACCTATGAACATTTCTAGGTATAAATATGAATAACGTACTATATTACTTGTCTTCATCTCTATATCCAAATAAAAAATTTAAAATTATACCCACCCTTTGTCCTTAAATTTTAAAAACTCTCTATTCCTCTATTTGAACAAAAAATCATATTTTTTAATTAAATTTGGATAAAATTAACATTGGGTGTTGTCTAGTCAAGCAACTTGTTCTTTCCGATCACACCCTATATCTATTCATTGCAATCAATCTTTCCAAACTAAGAATTTTGTGCTATGCATTTAGTTTCTTTTTAATAAATGCTTTGTTAAATTACATGAGTTATAACTGACATTATAATAAAATTTCGAGTGCATTCTCATAAACAGTCCACTCACATAGTTTCTACACCTGTATTTCTGCCTTTTTTTAATATTGTCTATAAAACATAAATATTATACACATAAATCTTTCGAATATTTAATTTTTCAAAAGTTTGATTAACACACGCACACGCACGTATGCACACATATATATATATATATATATAATCTGATCTAATATTTAGTTATCAACGTCGCTTTTGTACATGCTAGATAAATGCATAGACGCAGGCATGACCAATCCTACTTTATGTTTTCAACTTTTTATATTTCGTTTTGGTCAAAATAAAATTAGTTATGGAGTTGTTAAACAGTGGGCAGTTATCTGTCAAGAAATGAAAATTAATTTTCTTGTGAATTTCTTTCCTTTGAAAGATTATTATTACTTGTACAATTGAAGATTTATAGGATTTGTGTTGTACATAATGAGCGGACCAACCTTCTTCAATTTCATATATAAAACCTGATCACCTCATCTTTCCAAAATCCAATTCTCAGGTTTATTAATAACGTGTCTTTTTAAAGATTTTTTTTTAATATATTGATATAAACTGTATTTTATAAAGGTTTTTATGTATATCATATCATATCATATATATATATATACACATAAAAAAATTTTTAAATATATTTTTTATACAAAATAGATCATAATTTAAAAATAAAAAAAATTTATAAATTAAGATTTGAATGTTAAATTTATCGAATATTATATCTTAAAATGATTGTATAAATTAAATAAATTTATAAACTCTGAATTCTTAGATATATTTTTGAATTATCATAAAAAAATAAACTACTATTAAAATTTAAAATTTTAATAAAAAAATTTTATTTTGTACAATGAAATAGATAATTTCAACAAATTTGTGAGTTGGTCCCGAAAAAAAAAATTGACGGAGCAACATGGAGTGTACTAGATTAAGAGAAGATTTGCTTTGATAATAAATATTGTAAGACTCAATGAGTCTCAAAATTAGATATGTAGAAAAATTATGTCTATGAAAAGGAAAAAGTTATTACAATACACTGATTGAGTTAATGCCAAATTTGATTCGTACAAATTTGTTAACAAGATTAATTAATTTGGTAAAGAATCGGAACGGTTTGATTAAGAGCCAACTCACCTAATCTATTACTATTGGTTAGATAGTTCCAAGGATGGAACTATTCGTTCAAACTCGATAACCGAAAAAAAGACTCATTTAAAATATAAACTGAACCTTGGTTTCAACATTCAAAGTACATGTCCGGTTCGACCTAATATATTTTTTAATTATATAATATATATTATTTTTATATTTATATAGTATGTACTTTATATCATATAAAAGATAAATATATAATGTTAAAGTACCTCTTAGAAATTATATTAATTTATCCTTATTTTAAAACTTACTAAAAAATTAAATACTAAATTATTTGGTTTATTTTTATAATTATTTTTAATTACTAATTTAGACATGCCTTGATAGGATTTGAGAGCCAAATCAATTGGGCTTAAGCAAATATGTATAGTAATGATCAATGTTTAAATTTGATTCGAATATAATCGAAACTCAATCATAAATACTTTTATTAAGTTCTTAATTTTATTAATAATTTATTATTATTATTTATTTTTCCCTAGATTTATTTTAATTAATTCTAAAAAAGTTAATAACTTTGTTGATCGGATTATCAATTAATATCTACAAACCAACCTGACCTAATGTTACCCATGGAATGCAAAACATACAAATCGAACAAAAAAAAATTCTGTATAATGTATCAATTGGGTCTTGAATGGACCGAATTTTAATTAGTTTGCACTTCCAATTACGCAACTATCTTCATCTGTATGGATTCCATTACGTTATATATAGGTTTCGTGGCACTTAAAGCTATACAATTTGAGAATCTCTTATACAATTTCATTCCATTTTCAATATTTGATGTTGAAACTTTCAAATTAAAAAATTTTAAAATTTTTCTATCAAAATGTTTTATTGGGACTTAATATGCAATCCTTAGCAAAAAGAATACAATTTCATTATTACTTCTGCACTTTTTTTTTTATCAAATATAATAATTGGTGTATTTATATTTTATTTATTTTGTATTAAATATATGTAAAATATAAAAATTATTATATCATAATGTGTATCAATATACCAAATATAAAATATTATTTTTGTTTTTATCAAATCTATATACCTTTTTTACTAAAATTTTAGATTTAGTCGCTTTCATTTTTTTTTCTCATAATATTTTTATATACAAATTTAAAATTATCAAATTTAATAATTATTAACAGTATTATTTGCCCTTTTCCTAAGGGTAGCAGGCTTTTTCAACGTTGGACCAAAAGTGGTTTATAAATGCTATCCAATGAGGTAGAATCTGGAAATGTGACGATGAAAAGTGAAGTTGATCTTTAAAATTTGTTGTGGGAATGGACTTTGGGCCTACTATTGACAGAAATTGCAGAGCCCAGCATTGATGACACTCAGGACTTTTGGACTGAAATGTCATGTCATTTCTCAAATCGTTTTTTCGTTAACATGTTCATTGAGGTATCTAACAATTGAGCCAACCTCGCGCA